ATGGGCGTCATAGCATTTCAGCGGGAGGCACTCACTTGATCGAATGACGTTTTAGCGAACGCCCACGTTTCATCGAACGACACTTTAGCGAATAGTCGGACGCCGCGAAGCGGCGTTTTCGGGTGGGCCAAGTGAGTTCATATTTTTGTAATGAGTTGCCGCAGACTGTCGCCGCGAAGCGGCGTAAAGCGCAGCGCGACGGATGGGTTAACGCGCGCCCCCGTTATTCGCTAAAACGACCATTCGCTCCAATGTCGCCGTTCGCTAAAATGTCATTCGCTCTTGTGATATGGACCCCATTTCAGCATGCCGCGAAGCTGTGTTGCCGTTAATCTCACCGAAATGTAGAAGAAAAGTAGCGGAGTGAGCTTCTACAAGTTCCCGGCAGACTCTGGAAGGCATAGGAGGTGGATAATATCCGTGGATCGAAACTTATGGTCGCCTCGCGCGAACGACCGTTTGTGCGGCAAGCACTTTCTTGGAGGCAAGTGCGGCTTCCATTTCAATCTCCTTCCTGAGGCTTGCTTATGTGCAGGGAAACCGTCGTCTGATCGAGACCACCCGGATTTTGTTCCCACGGTGTTCGCGCACAAAGCACCGGCCAAGCGCTCGTTGGAGGCTCGCTACAGAAGGATATGCACTTGATTTAGTTGGTGATCCATGTTTGTGAGGGTAAAACCGCTAAAAATAACGGACGAGCGCTCTGTGTTGTTTGTTTCTTTTACTCGTCCGTAACGCGTTACCGCTACCGATAAAAAATAACGCACGTTACTTCTGAGTTTCTTTTTAAATTATGATTTAACACGTTTTACGGTTTTGACAATACAGGTATCCAAAAACTCATATATCAAGAAACATTATGTTCATGCAGAAACTGAATATAATCACTTTATCTCTTTTTACGGTTTCACCTAAATACTCACCAGAAAAAACGCAAAGAAAAACATGGCTTGACGCCCGAAGATGGAAAAATTGAAGTGTAATTGTAGTAACGAGTAACGTAACTAGGTTACTTGAAATAGTAACGTAAGTACGTTACCCGTTCCTGTGTTAAAAAAGTAACGAGTAGGTCACTACGATACTGAAAAAAAGTAACGCGTTCCTGGTAACGCCGTTACTTGTAACGTGTTACCGCCAAGACTGCAGAACGGACAAAGCGTTACTGCTTGTCATGCCTTGTGGTCATCAGATTAGGAAAAATAGCATACCTTGACTTAAAGACGCTGTGTGTATTTATTTAATTAATAAATACACCTCCGCAGACCCACATTCTGCTGATTCCGCCGGCAGTGCGGAAACCGACTCGAAGTAATCGTAGGCCTCGAGAGACTTGTACGCCTGCTCCGTGTCGGCCGTGAACTGGCTTGGCGAAAAAACTAAATAAACGACGACGTGAGCCGTCGACTTCGGTGGCAGCAAGTTCACGTCAGAAATCCAGCAGGCCTTGTTCACGGCGTGCGGATTCCCGTAGGCAACGCCGTCCACGCACAGTTCGTTTTAATACCGCCGCCGTTCAGGCTCGGGTAGCGAGCTCGAAGAGTCGGGCATAGCATACGACATACGTTGCCAGGAAATACGACTCACAAATAAAGCTAGAAGCTTGCTAAAGGTTACCTTCAGAACCTTTAGCAAGTTCTGAAGGTAACCCACGAATACCATGATATTCTAGTTTTTGAAGTAAAGTATTATGATGGATAAAATGAAAAGCTTTCGTGAAATCAATGAACACTCCTAAAACCAATTTTTTTTTTATCAAAATTTTTGAAGATGTGTTCCTTTTGCTCCTAAAGTGCTAACCCTGTCGACCGACATTTCTTCAAACCAAACTGTGCGGATGTCACCAAGGTATGTTTATCAGAAAACGGTGTTAAACAAGCCATTATGATTTTTTTCCAGTTCTTTTAAGAATAACGGAAATATAGAGAGGGGTCAATAGTTGCTGACGATATTTTTGTTTTCTCTCTTCATATGCAAAATTAGCGCTTCCGCTTTTTTGTCTTTTCAGGAAAAACGCCTGTCGTTAAAAAAAAATGTGACATTGACAATACGTTATGAAGTCAAGAATGTACTTGGTCGAATTTGTAAATTGTCATTTTCACGACTGATCCGATTTCTTAGTTGCATAAATATAAGAAAATACTTTCAAATTTGTGACAGGTTCAAGAAGAATGGAATGGTTATTTTTCTATTCAAAGTCATTGCGAAACGCATCTGTTGTCGTGCTGTCACTGACTAGGTATACGCGAAGTAGTCACTGAAAGTAACTACTTTCAGTGACCTAGTTTTAATAATACTGTATGTTTTGCATCGAGAACTACTGTCTGTGCGTCGGTTACTACTTTTTCAGCGCCGAGGATGTGTAGAATTTTAGCTCATGTGAGCAGGCCGCGAGTACTGAAATAATAAATTGGATGCCGAATCGGCTTTTCTGGAGAGTTTGGCTCGTTTATTCAGTGTTAATTTAAACTGGTCAAACTGGTGTAACCAGCCTAACCAGCTTGACCAGTTCAACCAGCATGCCAAACTGAGCATGCCGGGGCGATAACCCAGCTTGCAGCTGAGACCAGATCAACCAGCATCACCAGCAGGCCATACTGGGGATGCTGGTGATGCTGAGCTTGAAGCTGCGACCACCTTAAGCTGGTTTTTTTCAATAGGGTGAGACCGAAACCCGTGGTATAAATAGGTGCCCATGACATCGCTCACGCCATTACGACGTGACACCACGACATTACGACGTGACACCACGACATCACGCGACGTCACGTGACACCACGACTTCACATGACACTTGGTCATTTGACACCAGGATCTCTACCATGATACCACATCGCGATGTCATCGCACGTGATGACATTCTGTAGCGTGTCACCACGACGCCACGTGGCACTTGACCAGGGACACGGACCTTTCGATCTGAAAAGCTATTCACCTTACCCTCTAAACTTCGTTTTGCACCTCTAAAATTATGACTGGTGGCAAACGTGAATAAAACAACGGTGGCGGTACACGCTCCCCATTATGCACTTGAGAATTAGACTAACACTCGAAATACGAGTCCGTAAAGTAATATTTAGTTTGTCTAAATAAAAAAAGTAATTAATGTATAGACCCTAGGCCGAAGAGGGTGACAGAGGAAAACGAGTGGGGACAGCCCGGGACCTGAATGCCCGAACTCCTTCTTGGTGGCAACCGTCTTACCTGCAACTGTCTATCACCAGTCTTGTACACGTTACTAAAAAAAAGTAATCGATTACAATTACTATTACTCTTGGCTAAGAAGTATTCGATTAGATTACTTGATTACTCGACGGCAAAAGTAATTGGACGTTACTTAAAGAAGTAATCGTTACTTTTCCGATTACTTTATTGTGTGAAGACACATCTTTAGCGCTCATAACCAATGAACTACTTCCAACCTATATTTCACATTTGCACAAGTATTGAAGAAGAAAATCTGGCTCCCTCTTCGGTGGTCCTTGCACCTTCCCAATGCGGACACAAGCATAGAATTCGTTTGAAGACGTTTATTGATTTGTGCGTTCGCCAGTGTGTGTGTTAATTGTGTGTGTGTGGGGGGGGGGGGGGGGGAGCGGAGGGGGTTCTAGATCTTTTTAAAGCAAGGGTTGTCGCTCAAAGTTTGCGTCGCTCATTTTATTATTCTCATGTGGATGAGCTCGCATGTTATGCAAAAGAGAAGCAGCTCCAGGATTTGAAACGGATCATGTGTAGTATCCATTAGCCGAAGAGATCTCCCCGACCACTTCTCAACTCGAAACATTGCTTGTCACAAAGACCGCGTAGGGGAAATGGGGAAATATTTCAACTGCCTTTGTTATATTTTGCATCCGCTTTAGGCATTCTTCGGTTCTGGTTCTCCTACGGGCTGCAAGTAGGTACCCTAAGCAGGATTTTTTATTTTTTTTTTATTTCTGTGTGTGTGTGCGTGAGGGGGCTAGTTTAGGGAGCCTTCATGTGCGCTTTGCTAGGGTGAAGGCAACATGAAGGCAACCTAGGCTAGTTTGAACGAAGGACTCACAAAGCTACATTCTGCTTCCTCAAACTTCGCCCTGAATGGCCTTTGTCGCGCGCTGTGGCTTCCCTGGAGCTTCCCACTCCCAGTCCCAGCTCGAAAAGAAAAAAAAAAATCGGACATTTTACAGAAACTGTACATAGAAAGAGATTGACCTCGTTTCCTACAGCTCCGCAAAAATCTTTCTTTTTTCTGTTCGAAAAAAAAATAATTAATTTTTGTCATTAACCATTTTGTCATTAACGTTACAATTTGTCCACGGTTACATGACAAAAATAATAATTTTTGTCATGTAACCGTGGACAAATTGTAACGGTTACAAGTAATTTTATTACTTCAAAAAGTAATCAGATTACTCTTATGATTACTGCCTAATAAAAGTAATCACCTGATTACAAAATTACTCCAAAAAGTAATCGATTACAAGTAATTTGATTACTTGTAATGCGTACGGTACAAGTCTGTCTATCACCCAACTGGAACGATACATTTTCATCAACGTCGCGTCGCGCACTGTTTTACGATATCCGGCGAGCGAAAGAGTAATAGCTTTCTTCGTGTCATCATCACGTCACTCAGCCTCTCGTCCGTCCGCAGCGACGTACCGTCGGGGCTCGGCGCTTCGTCCAAGTCCCACAGTACCCTCCGACCACGGTCCGGGCAGGCAGGCGCGTGCCACGTTGGGCCGATTTGCGCATGCGCGCGCTTCCCCACGTTGCCTGGCGACGCGAGCAGACGGAACACCCTCGGGATCAACAAGGGCCGAGCCTGCGGCCAATTGCACCTAGAGCCCGGGGCCCGCTCGTTACGCCATCCTGAATCAATTCCAGACCCGCCCCACGCGGCGAATACGCCGAAGCCCGGCGAGAGTACGCGCCGAAGCGGCACACGCGTGTGTTTTGGCGTCGCGCTCGTGGGAAAACGCTACGGGCGCGAGCTAGACGGCGCTGCGTTGCCTAACCAGCGATGACGTTAGGGGAAGAAAGGCCTTTTGGTGTTGCTCCGCTCTTCCTCCGGTTGACGGGTCGTCGAACAGCGTGCCAGTCGACCCGCTCTTGCCTTCGGGACCTGCCAACTACCGTCCGGCGCGCACCAGTTTGTGGGCGAAGCAAGCAGCTGTCGGGACCTTCTGTGAGAGGTGAGCCACCCGCCCCTAGGGCCACGGGAGAGCGGGATGCCCAAACGTGCGGCAGCTGAGCGTTTTCGCGTGGCCGTGGAGCCGGCCGCGGCGACCATATGGTTTCGGCCGGCGGCGCGCGCCCCTTCTCTTTCCTCAGTTGACCCCGCAGCTGGCATTGCGGACGCACTCACAGTCACCACACTAATCAATCGCCTCCCTTTCATCACCCGACGCTGCTCTCTGCGCGTGGGTATGAGCGGGTGGGTGATCACGTGGTCAGAGATAGACGTTGGACTGGTCCAACGAACATGTAGCTTTTACCGCCTTGTCAGCTTACAGGGCGAGCTGAGTGTATTCTTCGCCGGGCTGCTTTCGAAGATAGCACTTTCACGTGCTGTCAAATTCGGGAGAAGCGCGTGGCGGAAACTTTACGGTTACAGTTGAATGATCCGAATAATTAATACGTTATTTTGCCACCCCTGGCAGCATCGATACGGCTAACTAATTTCATAGCGGAATACACTCTTTGCTCGTGCAATTGGCTCCCATTTCTTTATATCGTCCGTCTTCTATTTCAATAATATGTGTGCCTTATCGTTAATTAAACGAAAAACGAATTGTATTCAATTGAAAGCGATGTTCGGAAGGCTCGAGTGAGCCAACTTTCTAAACAAGCGAAGGTAACGTGTCGTATAAACCCTGGTACATCGCGTGAAAGTATGTCTTGCATCGATTGTTATCTGAGGTCTTGGAATGAAAGCCGACGCCCGAGCAATTGGCAACCACGTAAGTGATTTTACTAGTCACGCGAATGAAAATATTGTAAAGTTGAATCTGCTCGTTTTTGACACCCCGCAAAAAAAAAACAAAAAAAAAAACGACAGTATATTGAGGAGTTCATAATTGAGATTAGCTAAATGTAAGTTGTACGCACCAGTTGTAGTACTCCGCAAGTCCAAGCGCGACAAGACATCCAGTTACGTTGTCCTCTTCTAAAGAGACATACACCTTTTTATCCATAGCGTTGCTAAGCGTTCCTCCGGGAGTCACCTTAGCCAATCTTGCACATCACGTGTGTCTTGACTTTTTATAATCCGCGCATTGGAGCAACGGTCTCGCATTCATAACACAATTGTCGAGTTTATATGAGTGCGCCATTTCGTCACAATCATCGTCAAACTGATGTACTTCAACGCTTTTTAGGACTTGTACTTTACGCGTTCCTTGTATCTACGTAGTTACTTTTTTTAAAGTAATGGCTGCGTTACTCTTTCAAAAAGGAAATGAGTATCGTATTCTTATTCCTTTTTGATAAAGTAGGAATTAACGTTATTCAGTTACTTCAGGAAGGGAACGCGTAAAACACAAGTTACCCAACCTGGTTTCCACACCAGCTGGCGCCTGTGACCTTCGCAATAAAAACACTCAAGATATCTGTGCACGAAGTAGTCTAGTATAGCCAGAGTTCTCGCTCAGCATATCCATAGAACTATATATCGGTGAATAATTGCAGTTTGCGGATAAGCTTTTAACTAACAAGCAGAACAAGGTTCGGTCGGTAAACACAATGGAACATTTCCTTCCATCCACTGTGGATCTGCCTTGTCTATCTTTCCTCCAGTGAGCCCATTCCACATTTTAATGCGACCCAAACCAGGTCAAAGAAAGGCTGTAAGCGAACTCCTGTAAGGTTCCAGTGCCTGCCTAATAATGATGTCCTCAAGGTATAACAGTTTGATCCAGGAACTTTTGGAAGAGGGGGACAATCCCAAATACGAATCTGTCAGCTTGTTATTATCCTCTCTGTCCCCGTGCCCCTATAGGCTGAGTCCCTACACCCTTAGAAAAAAAAGGTTTGATATATCCCTCCGCAAGGAGGAAAGATCTCGCAAGATACGTTTCTTTTTGAGGGGAGGAACTTTCGTTCCTAAAAGCAGGGAAGCAAAGTTTTTCCCTTGTCTCCATCTCAGGGTATGGCGTCTCCGAATCGAGCTCAGTAAAGGGTAATGAGAACGCTACGACTATTGTCGGTTTTTACACAGAACACTGCCGTGATTCAGTCGGACATGCTTGACATAATTTTAGGACTGGAAAATACCTCGGGCTATTGACGCCCCCCCCCCCCCCCCCCCCCCCCCCCTTAATGCTTAGAAGCAACTATCGCAAGCAAAGCTGTCAGCTGCTTCGCACCCATCCGAGCAACTGTTTTCGGGGAGAGAAGAGCAATAAATAGAAACATCCCACGAGCTTTTCACGCACTGTAGTTATTGGCGAAGCCAACTTCATTCGCAGGTAAGGTTACCGACTCCTCTCGCTGTTAATGCAGTTTAGCTGACAACAATGCGATGTTAAACGGATACAACCGAAACCCAGCCACTTCTTGCATTTCCCGTCTCACCTTTGCTATTCCTCGAGTCATATATCCTTCGCCAACACCTCACGTCATTGAGGAGTGGAAAACTATTCGAAAAACCAAAACCCGCTCCCAAAAGAGCTAATTCAAAGCAACCCACTTAGCTCATTGCACGATAGCCAGAAAATATCCGGAAGCGTGAAAGAAGGATAAATATCTTGCCACCAGATGGTACGGTCCAATAGAGTACTTGCAAGTAGCTAGGCTAATGGACCGACGTCACCAAGCGAACTGCGCAGGCGCCCGCATTCCGGAAGTGGTGCCGCCGCCATGCTACTTGTAGTGATCCCTTTCCGGCTTCCCGGCTACATAGAGGGCTGCGCGTACATCATCGGGGATAATCGTTTGAAACGCACCGGTATCGGCTTGATTCTGCGTCATGTCTTATACTTCATAAGATTGTGTTGTTTGTGATGCCTTAGTTTGTCAGCAAGCGCAGAAAAGCAGTTCCAGACTTCTTATCGCTTTAGAATCGCTTGGTCGTCTGCTTCTTCGTCTTCGTGAACGCGTGCGCCCACTGCCGTTCACGTGGTGGTCTCACTGCCGGCCGCGGAAAAAACAAAAACAAAAAACCAACGACGCCGTTACTCGAGCGTGCCGGCTGCTCGGACGTCTTAATTAACTTGGAAACAGGTGAAGATCTAGCGCAATGGCAAAGAACAAGAAAATTGGAGGAACCACCGGCCCGGTGTAGCACTGAGGAACAGCATCAAACGTGTTAGAAAAAAACTGAGCTTGGTAGTGCTCAGTGTTGTGCAAAACGTTTAATCAACAATAAAATAAGAGGAGCTAAATAGAATTTCTCGGTGAGCGATTGACTTTCTCGGTGAGCTAAAAGTTATTTCATTCTAGTTGACAGCTTGTGTATTCGGTTTTATTTTGTTTGCGCAAGCTCCGAACGTAGAAGTCGCCCGACGGGGGAGGTTTTTTTCTGCGGTCTTGATTGGTGTTAATGCAGAATGGATCAGTAACGTCAGCCTAATAGACCACCAAAAAAGGGATGAGGTTCGCTTGTTACATTTTTGGCGGTAAGTTTTGCACTTTTAAAGTGCGTTATGCGATTTGTATGAAAAAACAAAAACAAAAGCAAAAAAAACATGAAGGCTGCTTTCGAAAACAGTTGTTTTATTTTAAGTGATGCGTATTGGGGAATCGCCGCTCTCTTTTTTGTGATTGCCCTCTTTTGAAGCACAGTTGTGCTTAAAACATGTCGTCGCAATGACAGTTATAACCACCAAAATACATCGAACAAAAAGTGTATTAAAAACGGCCTCCGCAAAACAGTGCGGAGGTCCTATTTGACCAACGGATAGATCGCTAGGGAGCGAATGCTCGTGCTCTGTAATCTTATTTTAGCTGGCGTGCAATAGGATGGATGTAAATTATGAAGTAAATCGAAAAACAAACCGTAAAACGCTATTTTTTCTGCCGCTCTGTCCGGCTCTGTTTACCTTTCTTTGACATGTTTCTTTCTTTTGGGAAGGCATAATATCCGAGGCCTTTTTGCCTGGTGCTGTTGTTATAGCTCGGTGGCATACAACAGGTGAAGCCACCAATTGAAAGCCATGAGTAAATACCCGGCTAAAAGTGTCGTGCTAACCCGAAAATTTTCAAACACCGGGCGTTTTCCGGCCGCATTGACGCGGCCGGAAAACTGGGGACAACTACAGGTGCCAGAATGCACCGCGGTAGCGGTGGCGTCGCGCAACTCCTGGTGAGATCGGTCTATTGCCACATGCACGTACTACGCGTAGAACGCGGTAGAGGGGTTAGAGTGATAACTCGGAAGCGGCACCCCCTCCGGTTGCCACCATGTTGCACGCAAAAGTGATTACTCGTCACGTGACCTCACAAGAGCCATCACGTCACCGGTAAGATGGCAACACCCAAAGCCGGTGCATGAGAGTTGGTTCGGTGCCCGGCAGTCGTGATGTGCCGCTGCGTGCCGACAATTTCGGACTTCTTCGTGCTCTTTATGCATAACGGAAGATCTGAAAGAGTGAGACTTATTACGTTTTTTTGCGCACGATTGCTCTGGATATTGGCACCAATAGGACAGCATCAGTCGTATCACCGTAGTGGTGCTCGGATTTTCAGATTTGTTCGAGGACCGATAGAACTTTAAGCACGACATTTCCGGATTCTCCCAGCTTTCTTTAAATTTTGGAATGTCCGAGAATTGAAGGGAAGAGTATTTATCGCGTGTAGGGCCTAGGGGAACTTTGTTTCTGCCCTGGGTCACTGCATAATCACGGGAACTTTTAGCGCAGATGCTGCCTTCGATCTTTAACCTTTTGTAGAATCAACGATTTTATGAATTGGCAGTTCTTAAAATTTTTAATATAACGTGCCCTTATTGCAGTAGCTTGCATTCGATCGCAGTATTCGTTTCATTTTCTTTTTTTTTGAAAACCTGACGCTTGATCATGTTACGTACACGCGACCTCTTCCAAAGGATTCGAACCAATCATTCGGAAAATAGTTCATTACTAGCGTTCATGAAACAGTTAATTTATCCCCTTGGAACTCACTAGACAGTTAGCAAGTTTTCACATTTTTTATTGTAAGTGCATAAATTGCTGCATCCGACGTCCCTTAGAAATTC